TTTATTGCCCGGAGTTGCCACAATTCATCTGGGACTTGAACCACACAACTTCTTTTAAGATTATCGTTGCCATCACGGCCATTGCCTGTCCCGTTACCATTCTGTTAAACCTCTTGGTGATAATAGCAATGAAGACGAGAAGAGAAATGAAAAAGAATTCAAACATCTTGCTGTCTAGCGTGGCCTTAACTGATCTTTTGGTGGGCGCTGTTTCTATGCCACTGTCTATCTCGTTAGACACGTTAGTTATCCAGAGAGTTTTAGATGTGGATATTATCTGTACAATAGATGTTGTAAGTGTCTCTTTAATGTACACTATTTGCGGTGCGTCATTTTTACATTTGCTCTTAATTGCTTGGGAAAGGTATGTGGCAGTAGCGAAATGGATGGATTACAAAGCTATTGTGACAAGAGACCGTATAAACAAGTACACGAGAGTTGCTTGGCTGTTGGCAGTACTATTGGCTGTTCCACCTGCAGTAATGGAATCCGCTAGCGTTCTTCATGAAATTATATTAGTCGTAGATGTAATTTTGAGCATTTTCTGGTTTGTCTGCTTATCACTTATAGCATATTTTTATGTCAAGGCTTATCTCGCCGTGCGAAAATGGAACCGAACGCGAATCCTCCCAGTAAATGTTCTGGTCAAAGGGAAGCTTGAAAGCAAGTTTGCTTACACGACTTTCTGGTTAACGGTTTTCTTTGCAGTGTCGGGTTTTCCGAGCGTCGGCGTTTATCTTTTTCGGGGAGTTGCGCCTTTTTTCCGCCAGGTTTCCACTGTACGATGGGCAGAAACAATACTTCAGTTTAACTCTCTTTTCAATCCACTATTGTACTGGTATAGCACGAAACGCTTAAGAAAAGCTACGTTGGAGCTGTTATGTTGCAGAAACAGGACAACAGAGCGCACTGCGAGCCATGTAAGGCAACGTCGCTATTCCGTGGCATCGCTAGATGCCGAAAAGTTGCAAAGCGAGCAAAAGCGCCCCCGATTTTTCAGGTCAAAATCTCTCGGTGCAGTGATGTGCTCAGACACCTTTCGACAGAGGTCGAGCAAAGCAGTAAAGGAAAGACTGCCCGTGTCAGCTCCATCGAGGGTAGCAAGCGACGAGATATTTGCGCCACAGCACGACCAACTAACTGTAACAGTCCAGATTGAAAATGCTCCAGGAGGGAAAGGCAGTCTGCGCAAAATTGAATTACCGAAAAACACCACGGAGCTTGGAAGATCTCAGGGTCCTATCGGTTGGAAAATTGTGCGATCAAGGTCACTGCATGAAAACCCTTTCGTGTCACTAACTAAATGTCATCATATTGCGAAACAGAGGAATGCCCAGAGATCCAGATCAGTGCCGATAATGTTGAAAACCTTACACGAACCGAAGGACAGAACAACTGTTGTAACTGTTGATGAGTTGACCAATGATAAAGGACTTTCGTGTAATCGTTACGAGGAAACGAAACTATAATCAATGAACTGAAATTAGTGCATCATAAGTTGTTTGAATTTTCTTTAGAAAGAATAAATTACAAATAAATTTGACTTCTTAAAGTAATTACGCGTATGCTTTGGCTTAGCTTTGTTGACCACTGTATGACTGATATTAAACCAGTTATATTCTGTTTGGTTTCGTTAATCTACGCCGCCCTTTACGCGCCTTTAATATCGATTACTCTTTACCAAGTCTCTGCGTCAACGCATGCTCACGGAACGCGGAATTTGTTTTTATGCAAGAAATAAAGATGGGTAAATTTGCGATTCCATGCTGTGTTATAATATCAATTTTATTACTTTGCAAGTCGTGCCAGCAGCCGGAGTTGCTAATTCATATACAAACGAATTCTCACGAATGTTGTTCTGAAAATCCATATTTATCATTTCAATGATAAGTGCAGTTTCCTGACGTTTCAATTTCGTCAAAATAGTAAGCTGCACAAAACCATCACCAGTTTGTTTTCTTTGCAAAGATTCAACAAGGTTATTAAAAATCCGTTTGCAGAAATATAACAGAAACGAACAACAGCGGCAAACGTCCTGAAGTAAATATGACGGAAACATGACTTGACATTTCCGTTCCGGAGACTTGATAGAATCACCAAGACTTGGTATTTCAGGTTTCCGCAAAACGGAAATGTAACGGAAACATAAAACTCTACGCTTCCGTCACGTTTAAGAAATGCGGAAACGTGGGATTTCGTCCTGTGTATGTGCAACGTGCCCATATGCATTCTCTGTAATGACCAAACTTGCTTCTTTATTCAAACTTTTTTAAATTACAAGACACAGAACTCGCGAAATGGAAAATTTTCCTTACCCTTACAATATTACCGTCAAAAATGACAAAAATCTTCAACGGGGGAATACCTTGTTGATCTAATACACAAAGCATAGAGCAACTGTACCTTACGTGGTCAGGCTCCAAGCCAATATTTTGACGAACATTCATCCGATCAGCGAGGAGTCTAGAGCGAGGCGCGAAATCCGGAAGTATATTCGGCGTCTCGCACTATTCTCCTCGCGGCTGGGGATGACCGTGTAGGCATGCTTTACCGTTTCCCGTTTCGTTTACCGTTTTTTTTTCCTTTTTAGTTTGTTTTGCTTTCTTTTTAGCAAGAATATCTGTGCCGACAGGTTGCATTGTACTCATCAAAAAAATGTCCTCTAGCGGAAGACTCTCTTCATTTATTACTTGCTAGAAAGTGTTTTGAATACGCGAGGTGAAATCAAATATTGGTCATATTTCTTAAAATTATTGTTTTATACAAATGGTAGTTGTGGACAAATTTAAATGACATATAATGCCTGGAGTGCATCATTCACTAATTTACAGAAGTTGTACAAAACAACTCAAACTGGAGCAAAACCCACAACCAGTGCAGGTATGAGAAACCACTCTCACAAATGTTATTAATATAATAAATTAATTGTAAACCATTACTGTGCACTGCACTCCTGTAAAACCAACAGTCCACATCTACCAAAAAATTTTATCCAATTTCTTAATATTCATTTAAGACCAGGTGCTGGACAATTAATTTTTCCACTGGTGAAAATTTAACCGCGGTGCAACACCTCCCTCCACAAAGGAGAAGCATTTTACTCTCTCGTCCAGTTCTGGCTCTCTCTGTGCCACGCAACGCTGAGCTCTCTCTCCCTAGCATTGCGTGACAGGGAGAGGACCAGAATTAGACTATTCACCCTCATTATTACAAATATATTCATTGGATCATTTGTCTTTCTCTTCTCTGACTTGCCATCCAAGCACACGTCTGTCAAATCCACAAGAGAACAGATTGCAAGTTTTGACATTGGTTTCTTCTCCCCATGCTGTGCAGCAAACCATTCGTTGATGACCCTGAAAACGTGAACAATAAGGGATTACAGCTTTGATCTATTACTTACTGAATGTAACATGCGTAACAAGCCGAAAGAACATCTCCGTAAAAGGCTACAAAACTATGTAGGTAATGTTTTGTGGCCTTCAGAAAGGTCTGAAAAAAATAACACAAGGCAGAGAGAAAGGCATATATTTATAAGACACTATTGTGCCAACGTTGGCAGGAAAAGTTTTCTTTCAAATAAATGTAACACCAATGTAATCTTTCCAGGCTGCCAATCACAACCATGTACCGGTTTTGGATGATCGCGTTTTCGAACTGAAAACGTGTCAAAAGCTTTGCGTTCACACTACCTTTGTCCTAACTTTTTCCCCAGGTACTGAGGTACACTAAGACGCTCAAAATCGCTGGTACACTGAGAAAACACTACAACCATGATTTGCGCAATGTATCTGACGTGAATGATACAGTAATATACGAACCTAGTGATTTAAGAACTTGCAGGCTGAAATTTGGTATTTAATACCCAAAAATATTATAAAACCTGTTTAGCCTGGAAAAGAAAAAAACTCCAATTTAGATGGTCTAAATTCTGGATTTTAATCGTGTGAGAAACTTCTGACAAAACGTTATTGTGTATATGTTTTCTTTGATTTAAATTGTTTTGGATTTTCACTAGAAATATGTTCTCCAGAAAGCTACAGTGTAAAATATAGAAATGTATTGGTGTTCTTCCTGGACCTTGATTGTTTAATCATCTGAGCAATGCAGTTAACAAACACCCAGTTTACACTACGACAACCTCTGAAAAATACTCCAGTCCAGAATTAAACACATACCTGACCGTTTCTGCGAGGCAGTCGAATAAGTCTTACACCACTGATGTCAAACAATCGAATATGTCGGTTGTCGTGAGGAAGGGCGATCACATTGTTTATTGGTGACACGGAAAGTCTGGGGAAAAAAATGTTAACAACCTTTAGTAAAGTGTTTCAGTTGCAGACTATTGTTTCGACGTCTTGCGACATGTTGCAGGGTTCGAAATTAACGCTCGCAAACTCGCAAAATGCGAGTGACTTTGATAATCAGCGAGTGAGAAAAATATTCACCAGCAAACGTTTGCGAGTTAGAATCATCCATGTCTCCCAAACATTTGGAAAGAATTTGCTAGCGGTCTCACCAGTTTGCTAGTGGAAAAAACTTATTAGCAAAACTTTGCAAGTCGACCAAAAAGTTAACTTCGAGCCCTGTGTTGGGTATTGAATAATCGAACTAGTGCGCATGCCCGGGCGCAACACTGTTGCACGAACCTGGCCAAACGAGTACAACCTCGTGCAACATCCACAAATGTTGCATGAAAAATTTGACCATTTTCAAATTTGAGCCAATAATACCCAACTTGTCGCAACATGTCGCAACACATTGCAACAGGGTGGCCAAACGCACGCAACATGATGTGCCCAATAATGTTGCGATGTGTTGTGTTGAAATGTTGCGATCGTTTGGCCGGGGCTTAAGAGTCAAAGTAGGTGGCAATTAGCAGTCGTTATCTTACATACATATTGATTTTGACTTACCTGTTGACAGATGAATCTGTATTAATGGTTGTTAGAGGTGAGCGCATGTTCTTCAGATCCCAAACCTAAAAAAAATGTTCAAACTTGAGCGAGGAAATCAAAGAAAGTGAAAAAGCGTACAGTATTTAGGTACTTGTGCGTTGATTTAGTGTTCCTTCTATTTGTACAAAAATTGCATTTCTTCAACTCTTTTACACTGCATCAGGCATCAACGGTGGCGATCCTTCGTAAGTTCTGCCTGTCAGTTCCCTCTTCTTCTCTCACCTCCCTGAGCCCCAATCCACCTTCGCTCCAGCCCACTACTCGCTGAGTAACCTGCTTTCCTATACATCCCTGCCCCCAACGACCTACATACCAGCCCCAACTTGGGCGCTTTCCATTCAACCAAAACCGAAACGGAAGCAAATGGTACGGAAACTTTCCTGGTAACCTTTCTGGAAAATCCAAAAATTGTTGAATTTCCGAAATGCAAGCCATTCAACTAAAAATTCCCGAAATTCCGGGGGAAAAATCAAATGGAACGGAAATGGAAATTTACGAGAATTTGGCATAACTCACGAGATTGTCCTCTTTTCCCGAAAATCTGGATAATGCTGTACCATTCGTCGCTGGAAACCAGAATTTTTCGCCCAATGGAAAGCGACCCTTAGCCTCAGATCGCTAACACCTCTGGCCGCGAACCTCTGCAATGAAGACTACATGTACTAACCTTGACAGTTCTGTCATCACTTCCACTGACAACAATATCTTTGGTTGTGAAGGCAGTCGATCTAACCGTGCTGTAAACAAACAAACAAACAAGATATACGCGTCAACAAAGCTGCCATTTTGAACCCTAAGATCGACGAGAAGTTTGAAGGAAGACTCGACTAACAAGTAAAGCAAATAAGAGATGAATTTGTACACACAAAACGGGAAAGAACTAAGGATTTCTTACTCGGAATGACCCTGGAACACGTTAACTGAATGAATAGAAGGAGTTCTAAAGTCCCACAGACGGAAGGTTGTGTCGGTGGAAGAGGTGACAATTAGCTGCTGCGTGGGGTGGGTACAGGTGTGGGTAAGTTCCTGGTCATGGCCTGAAAAGGAAAAGAAAAGTCATTACAATTACAAGAGACACATTTTCCGACTTTTCTAAAACTCTGGTGTAATATGATGATCAAGGTTACCAGTCAATTGATGAACTTGTTCAGCTGTTTCCACATCCCATAGTTTAGCGCAGCGATCCCACGAAGCTGTGACAATCTGCTTTCCGGAGGTGAACCAATCAGCTGCAATTACTGCACCTGAAATGTACAGTGAAGCAAACAAGGGTTGTAGAGATG